CTGAAATTCATCTGGTTTGACTTTTCACTAAGCATCTGTTTTAGCAGTGCTTTTTCCTGTACTTTAAGCTTCAGCACTGTGCATTTGCAGCACTGTAACTGGAGTCCATAAAAAGTAAATACTATGTCTAGAAGCTCTTAATCAGTATTTCACAGCCACATTAGCAACTCTGTCCTCCCCCTTGTCCTATCAAAACCATACACTTAGGAATTGCAGGGTATTGCTAATGTCATCCCTTACGTCCAATTCAAAAAAAGAAATCAGTTTTTCTGTGAAGAACATGAATTCCTAAATTTGTTGCAGGGGTTTTCTTGTTTCTTCCTCCTGTACCTTTCTTAGAGAAAGGGAAACACCAGGGTATTTCACTGTAAACAGTATGCATCCTTTGCTTTTAATGTTCATTCATTTCAAATGCATAAATACGTTAAAATAAATTGCATGCTGGGTGATTATCTTAACCGCTTAATGCTATTGGGTATGGTGGGAGGGGGATACTAGCACAGGCACTTGCTTCAGCTTCATTCCTTATTGACTGATTCCAATTTCAGAAGAGGTCTGTATGGTCCTCTCTTGCCACTCGTAATTGGAGACCTACAGCATCAGTGTGGTGTATTTTTCCCTAAAGCATAATGTAAAACCTTCTACTGCTGGGCAGTTTGTGTTACTGTAACACTGCTGAGTCTTTCTTGCAGCCTTTGTCAAGGACTGAACTTTCCAAATTATGTATTTCAGACGTTGAGAAAGAAAGGACTTAATGGCTGTGACAGTCCAGACCCCGATGCAGACGATTCAGTAGGTCACAGCCCTGAGTCTGAGGACAAGTACAGAAAAATTAATGAAGATATTGATCTAATGATCAGCAGGCAAAGATTATGTGTAAGTACTCTGAGCTCCCTTTCATTTTTTTTACTTTTTGATATTTCTCTGAACCTGGCAGGCATTGAACAAGAAAGAAAACAAAGGTTGTGAAAGCCCCGATCCTGACTCCTCTTACGCTCTCACCCCACGCACTGAAGAAAAATACAAAAAAATTAATGAAGAATTTGATAATATGATCAAGAGCCATAAAATACCTGTAAGTACCAAAGGTTAGATGGCTGTCTGCTGATAACTGCTGCAGTAACAAACCATAACCCTTTCAGTTCTGGCTTCTTAAGGAAAACATTTCAGCTGGAAACAGGCTTTAATAGCCCAATATATAATTAAACACTGTGGTCAGACGATTTCACACGACATATTTTTCTTCCAAGTCTCTACCTCTGACACACAGACAAAGCCTACTATAGGTGAAACCTACAGAAGGAAGTGAAATATACATATGTACATTATATTCACTTGATTTACAGAACTGTTTTACCACACCACTTAAATTATATCTGAAAAATAACAATGGAAATCTTTCTTTGTGGACAGGCTAACAAACCCACAGAATACTTTCTGTGGTGATATAGAAAAAATGATGTAGAACTGAAATTCCTTTATATATAGTAATTAGTGCATTCTGTGCGTGTCGCTTCAGTTCTCAAGTCTCTCAGCTAAACTCAGTTGCAGCACTGAAGGGTTACAGCTACTTGCTCGCTGCAGAGAAACAGACTGCATGAGAGCCTAATGGTAGGATTCAGACATGTTTGTGTGTTGGGGTGATTTTACAGCTTTATCGGAGAATTTGCTTTGACCTCATCGGCATTTCTTTAATGCTTTAACATGAGCTAAATTTTGTTTTAACTAAGTCAAAATTTCTAACCATCAGTCATATGCCTTGCCAGATATCTAAGAGAAATAACTCTGCATGTGCTATTTTGTTTGCACAAGACGTACAAGGGGAGAATATTTTGTTATAATGTTTAATATTACGTGTATAAAGCTGACAAAAAGAATGTGGAGGTTTGGAGGTTATATTTGGTGCTTCTTCCAAATGTGTGTGGAAGAGAAAGTAGCAAACCAAAGATTTGCCCAGGTCCAAAGAAGCATTTGAATTTGCATAGGCAACTGCTTGCTTCTAAAAGAGATCATTTGGATGTCTTCATTCCTCATTCCCACATATAGGTTGTATGGTTAACTGCCAAAAAGGATGTATACCCACAATGAGCAATGTCTCTTCTGTAGTGCTAGTCAATTGTGCGTACAAAATCTGATACCTAAGATGAGGATACCTCTTAAGGATGCTCAGATTCTGTCTCATGCAGTGTAAGTGTTCTTTCC